TCTGACAGAGTGTTTTTGTGCGTGCAGCTGCAGCAGCCGAAGCGGCTCAGACAAAGACACAATGCTGCAGGTGTGTGGATTTACAGCAAGCTGCTCTCAAACCTGCAGCTCGTTTCTCGCGCTCTGAGAGCGAGTCGGGACATCCACAACATCAGCGGCTGCTCTGAATGTTTTCACATTCTGTGGCTGATCGCGGCGTGTGGGGACGACACGGTTGCCTACAGCTCGAGGGTGTCGCGCTCGCTGTTCTGATCACAGAGGAGGCAGCCTCTCTGCGAGCTATCCTTACTGTATAAAACGTAGATATTGACAAAGTTCACTTGCAGTTGAAAGGTCATAAATTGCAATAACAGGTGATATAGGTGGTTTCATGGGATGTCTGGGGCTCCCTGCCTGAGCTCATTGTTAGAAGCGTCATGTTTATCCTGAACCACAGAAGCATGACAGCATCCGCTCGAAAACTGAAAAGTCTGAAGTCTGGCACAGTGCGGTGAAGAATGCCAGCTTGGATCAGTCTCCATGTTCAGACACGGTTGAGTTAGGCGGAGTGGGCAGAGCCTCCGTCAGTGAGTCGGCGCTCACGTGGGCTGAACGTGCAGAGCTAAATAAAGACATGGAGTCGCAGCGAGGTTTGATTCATCTGTCTGCGCAGCACCGCGGTCGGTTCTCTCCCCCTCCTCTTCGTTCGCTGTAGCCGTGGAGGAGGATGCTGTTGCCATGGTTACCAGCTTCACATTTAAAGACATAATTTATTCAGGAATGTGCAGAGACAAGCGCTGCAGTGATCGGCCGCTCTTTAAACACTGACAGAATCATAATCGTAGGCGTCAATAACTTCACATTTGTGCCGATAAACAAGCCCCCACCCCTCTCTGCGTGTCACGGCGTTGACTGCATTTAAGACGATGATGTCAGCACTCTTTTTTTTTTTTTTTTACTTTTTTTTTTTAATGTCCATCAGCACTCCCCGCCGGCCCCCCCAACCCCACACACACACCTATGACTGTTTGTGGTGTCGACCCTCCCCCACTGGCCCGCTCAGAAGCCTCCGTCTCGCTGTGTTTTTATGTTGCCCGATTGGTCCACTTCAGCTCGTGCTGCAGATTTCATGCAAACTTGATTTAGCTCCACACCTGCAGCGGATCCATCTGGAGTCGGTGGATCCGTATTTTGGAGTCCGGATGCTAAAACGCTTTATGTGGGCCAGATGTCAGCTATGTCATGATATTTGAACCACATCTGGCCCACCTGACATTTTCCACCCGCTGTGTGTCTATTCCACTTCATGTACCCCACTTAGGTTCAGTCAGCATTCAGCCAGCTGTGTGTGGCAGGTCCACATTTAGCCTGTACGGCAGCAAAGGGGGAGGGGGGTCTACGTCCACAAAGTGTCCCTTTTTGGTCCACATTTAACCATAATGGATTTTGTCTCAGGTAGTTCAGCAGTCTGCCTGCTGAAACTCACCCACAGGGCCTCGTGCCACACACGGAGACTCTCTTTATTTAACATGTTTAAGTATTAGACCCAGACCCCACCACACATGTGGCTCCACATCTGTCCTAGGCAGGTTAGCCTGTTCGGGTCCACATTCAGGCAGCACAGCAGTCCACCTGTGCTCAGCATTAATCATCGAAGGAATGTGGTCCACGTGGGCCTGCACCGATCCGGTTTTAGCTCGTGTGTCGAACACGCAGCGTGCTCGGAGCGCTGAAGGGAAGCACAAGGACAAAGAAAAGGGTGAAGCACAAAGACGCGGCATTAATAGTCATCCGCAGCCATTACTACGGCGCTCATGAATTATTGCTGGCATGTAAAGGTCTACAGAGAGGAGGAAGGGGAGGCCCGGGCCCCCTCCCCCCGCCCGTTTCCTCCATCAGCATCTCTGCTCGCTGTCACCATGAGAAACCACTGGGGTGTTGCCTAGCAACAGCAGCAGCAGACAGCCTGCAGCAGCTGTTTGTGATAGTTTCTGAGCGATTAAATGACAGAGGGCAAGTTGACAGCAGCGCCCATTTTATCCCCACCCACCGCCACATTTCCAGCTTCAGCGAGCGTCACGACTTTAGCTGAGGGCGTTTGGACCTTCTGAGATGAAGGTCAGACCAGGGGCGATTCTAGGATCAGAGCTTTGGGCGTGCTGAGCACCCAGAGAACTGCACAGCCAGGCAAGATAAACTTTACTCGTTACAATGACACGTCTTCCCCGTCTCTGTCAGTCCCTGCATCCCTACATGTCTCCAGTTGTCCCGAGTTCCCTCTGACTGTCTCCTTGGTGCATTTAAACCCCTGTTCCTCCCTGTCCTCGTCGTCTGTTGTCTTCATCTCTGTTATCAGTCATCATAATTTTACCCTCTCTGTGCAAGTCTGCAAATTTCTTTATTAAATCATAAGATTCTTGAATTCATCAAGTGTCTCTGTGCCTGGGTCCTCGTCCAAAAAAAAAACATCACTGTTTTGTACATTTTAACACAATTTAATCCCACATTTGTGAAAGAAAAGCAAAACACTTTTTTGAAAAGTCTGCAACAAAACCATCAAATCTGATCAAGGTTAAATGCTGCTAAAGAAGAATGGATTGGAATAGAAAAAATACATATCCTAACCTTAATTACTGGGGGAGGATAATGAATGATGCTCATAGTGAGTAAGAAGTAAACTGACTGCATTTTTTTTGACAGAGATTCACTTCACCTACCGCCTGCCTGGTGTTGGCCAGAGGGGCCGATGGTGCGATATGGCAGCCTCGCTTCTGCCCCAGGGCAGCTGTGGCTACAACTGTAGCTGCCGCCACCTGTGTGTGAATGAATAGTGGAATTGTAAAGCGCTTTGGGTGCCTTGAAAAGCGCTATAAAAAATGCAATCCATTATTATTATTATTATTATTATTATTATTTTTAAATAGATTGTATTCAATTAGATAAAAAATTACATTAATATGAAAAAACAAATACTATTAAGATCACTAATGAAAAATCTTCTCTCAGTGTACTTTCAACCAAAAGGCAAATAACCAAACCACATGAACATCTAATAAAAGATAAATATTAAAACACTGATCATTTGTTCTTACACTTTTACCTGAATGTGGCTCCTGGGTTTAATCTTGGCACATATGACAAAATAACCAGCTTCTCCCATTCCATTTCAAACAGGACAGTGGTAACAGCAGTAGGCTGCGGACAGTTTAAAGATTTAGATTTTAAATAGGCTGCATAAATTTCAATGGGAGCAACAGGACGGTCAAATGTCGCTGATTTTACTACAGAGCAGGACGGATTGTAGGGTAGCAAACATCGTCGGAAAACACGTTTCCAACACTACAGGTTACCTGCTGTAATGTTTTCAGCTAACAGAAACATGGTCTGACTCCTACCAACTATATAAAGAATAACTGAAGGTTAAATGCGGCTAACGTCCTGTTTTAAGCCAGGCACTTACACCTCCGCTCCGCTGCGTCTCAGCCACCATCGCTCTGGCAGCAACGGCGCTACAGCCAGAGCAGGGGAGAGGCGAGCTGGGATGCTATGATTCATTCATAAAATCGCCCTGGGTCAGACGTTTCTGAGGGACCTCAGAACGTCTCTGTTGTATCATCAGAAATAACCGAACTCTGTTCTGTCAGGCCATAGTCGCGATGTTACGGTGGGACTCGCTTGCGAGCCTCGGGGGGGCGTTCCTCTCCGAGCTCGCATCATTGCGTACATCCTCCTCAGTCTGTATATTTTAGTTTTGATATTCTGAGACCATTTTGTGATGCTTTTTTTTCACTTTATGTAGTTTGTACCTGCAAACTCCCCACGATGTGAAGGCGCCAACGCATCAATGTCCTCGCTGCGTGAGTCACACTGTCCTCAGAGTGATTCCAGACGCTTCCGACGGCCCGCTGTGTGTGTGTGTGTGTGTGTGTGTCTGTCTGTGTGTGTGTGTGTGTGTGTGTGTGTGTGTGTGTGTGTGTGTGTGTGTGTGTGTGTGTGTGTGTGCGCGCGCGCGCGCTTTAGACTCAGCTGAATTGCCAAGAATGTGACACTGTGTGTTGTGTGTTTGATCTCATTAATTTGAATCAGTGTAACGTTCAGTGTCAGTAGTTTTCTTCCACGCTGTCGCATCATTTATTTGTTTGTTTACTTCTGTTTAATGGTTCTGATCTTGGTTTCCTGTCGGTCCTCAGTGCTGCTGTGTGATCGCAGCAGCGTGTGCTTTTCGGAGGGTGGGTAGCTTTCTCGCCCCCTGGTGGATGGCTGTAGGGTACATCATAAGTCCCGCCCCTCCACGCGAGAACACGGTTAAGAGTGTAAGCGTTGGTGATCGGGAGCAGCCTGAAGGGCGGGGCTCAGCTCAGTGTCAGCTTCATTCCACCAACCTGGCGATCGTGGCTCAAGAGTTGGGAGTTCGCCTTGTAATCGGAAGGTTGCTGGTTCGAGCCCCGGCTTGGACAGTCTCGGTCGTTGTGTCCTTGGGCAAGACACTTCACCCGTTGCCTACTGGTGGTGGTCAGAGGGCCCGGTGGCGCCAGTGTCCGGCAGCCTCGGCTCTGTCAGTGCGCCCCAGGGTGGCTGTAGTGACTGCCATCACCAGTGTGTGAATGTGTGTGTGAATGGGTGGATGACTGGATATGTAAAGTGCTTTGGGGTCCTTAGGGACTAGTAAAGCGCTATATAAATACAGGCCATTTACCATTTACCATCTTATTACTATATGCATATTTGTATTGTACAGCACTTTGGTCTACCAGGTGTGTTTTTAAAGTGCTATATAAATGATGATGATGTGAGTCAGATTGTGTATTAGGATATGTGACGCTGCGTGGAGCGGAGCGCTGGATGGGCTGTTACTTTCACTTCTTGAGTAACAACAGCGTTGTTGAGGCGTGAGTGTTTAGTCAGATAAGACACTCAAAAACTAACAGATATTAATATTATAGCGTTACACTGGTCATTTATTCAGGCTGAGCGATCTAGGAAGTTAAATCTGTTCCCTTTGCATGTTTTTAATGCTTCAGACATGCTCACATGCCTGAAAGGTCTCAGCTCCGGTCTTTAGCCAATCACAGCTGGGAGGCAGCGAGGAGAGCCAATGACGTACTGCAGGAGATGAAGCGTCTGAAGACTGAGATGAAGATGCTGCTGACGGTCAGTGTACAGTTCAGCTCAGCTCGAGTTAACGGGAGTCTGTAATACTGAAGCCTGACACACGTTCTGTCCCCCAGCAGCCAGAAGACCCTCTGAAAACCAGCAGACCTTCACCGAAGCACCAGCAATCCCAACAAACCCAGTCCCAGTCCCAGCAAACCCAGTCCCAACAAACCACCTCAAAGGAAAATCGCCCGAGGTCCCGATCTTCCCACCTCCAACAAAACTTATCCCATGAAAACAGTTTACAGTCCCAGCAAAACCAGTCCAGACTACCCCAGCCCAATAAAACCACTGATGAAGAACATAACCTCTGGTCCCAGCAGTCCCAGTCTGTGCTGGTCCAGAGGAGGTCCGCGGTCCCGTCCCTGCTGGAGGAGGCGGGTCAGGTTCTCCATCAGGTTCGAAAGCAGAAGAAAGTTCTGGAGGAGAACCTGGAGGCTCTGCTCAGAGCCCGGACCGGAGAGGTTCTGCACTGCCAGCTGGAGGCGCTAGCTGCTAACAGGTAGCTAATTGTAGTGTTGACTTCAGGTGTGCTCGCTAACACAGGACAGGTTTAAACACTTAGGATGGTTTCTCTGACCGGCAGAGACCACAGCGAGGAGGTCCGCATCAAGAAGACAGTGGACGCCTGGATCAGCAGGTTAAGCAGAGACATCCAGGTGAGCTCCAGCAGGCTGGGAACACCTTCATCTTTCTTTTTGTCTGCTTCTTCTTCTGCTTCTTCTAAACTTCACTTCTAGAACTCCGATGTGGCGCCATCTGTTCTCTCACTCATACGACAGCACAAACGCTTCTTCTTCTTTGAACTTTTCTTCTTCTGCTCCTCCCCCGGTGCTCAGAGAAAGAGCAGAAGAAGTAAAACGGGGACTGACCCTTTTCTGCCTTGCCATCAGGCTGAGATGTCCTCAGGGAACATCAGAAACCATCACTCAGCTGTGGACGCTGATAGCTCCGCCCACTCAGGGAAGGAGAGGCCAGTGGGCGCGCTCAGAGGAACAGGAAGTATGAGGACAGCGAGGAGAGGAAGCAGAGGGCAGAGAGCCGGAATCAGAGCGGTGAGGCTGGATTCTTCTGGAAGCCATTGATTAGTTTCTCATCAATAACAAACAAGCGATCACTGATTGGTTATGTGTTTATGCACCTGCAGGGGGTGGAGCCTAACCGAGGCACAGGTGGAGCAGCTGAGCGTCATCAGTTGGAAGTGGACGGAGAATCGTACCTGACCCGGCTGTATGGCCGGGCGCCGTATGAAGGTCTGAGACGGACCCTGAAGAAGAGTCCGTACCTTCGCCTCAGCTCACCTGCCTCACCACTCGGAAGGAAGCCCCGCCCCCGACTAGTGGAGAGTGTCCGAGGTCAGAAAGTCAACATCAGTAAGTGTGATGGTAAAGGTTGACCTGTGGGCGTTGTCAAACATTCTGCTCTGCGTCTCAGGTGTGAAGCTGAAGTCCTCCAAGACTCAGACCAGCCTGGCCCCACCCCTCACTCAGCCCCAACCAATCATTTCAGCCCCTCCCTTTGCTTCCTCCTCACCTGGACGATCTCACATTTTCAGCTCATCACACCTGACCTCAGGTCACTTTGATGACCTCAGCATGACCCCTGCAAACAGCTGCCCTGTCGCCATAGCGATCCCACTGGGTCAGTAACATAGTAACCTGTTTCTGTAAAGGTTAAAATAAACATAAACAACAGTTCCAGGTCAAAGGTCAAGTATAACACACACAACCTTCCCCATGCAGGTCCACCCCGGATGGACTCCAGGTGTGAGCATCCTCAGGAAGTGACATCAGCGCTCGCTGCCCCTCCAACAGCCTCTGTGGGCGATGAAGCACCTGACCAGGTGAGCAGCTTTGAGCCTCTGAGGACTTCAGTCAGTCAAGGGTGGAGGTGTGAGCTCTGACAGGTGTGTGTGTGTTCACAGCAGCTCCTGGAGGCAGAACAAGCTCCTCCCCGTGCTCCATCACACACGATTGACATCATCGAAGGGAACGAGGAAGAAGTGGAAGAGGACGACTTCTTCCCTGGAACTGACTTCCTGTCTGTTGTTGATGTTGTGCAGGTAAGCCCCTCCCCCTCCTCTGTGCTTTAGAGCAGCCACCGTCGTCTCATAGGACGGCCACTTTAGTCTTCAAGTAGTATAAAAACAAAAAAATGCCCACAAATACTTCCTGAAATGTTTTGTTCCCTCTTCACTAACTGAAGCCTTTCATTGGACGTTTGTTCTGTGCACACGTGGCAGCACTGCTGCTGTCATTGTGTTCTTAACTAAATCAGACATAAGTAAACACGTGAGTTTGTGACTCTCACTGAGCTAACAGACATCCCTCAGCATGTTTGTGCTCTCTGCTCATGACATATTCCATCATTTTAAAGAACTTATTTTAACATCGTACTCAACAAAAACAATTCCTCCTTAACAAAAAAGTCACTGCATTCGATTTCTTCACGTCAACATGCAGCCGCCAGGTTGAGACCTCTGCTGTAGACTGTCAGTGTTTTCAGTGAGGCTGCAGCGCCACCTGCTGGACGAAAACAGAACAGCAGCAACTCAGAGCGAAGAAGATGATGACGATGATTGCTATTACTATTCATGTTTTTGGACACATGGAGACTTTGATTAATTAATCCTTTGGTCTCATTTTTCGTTTTTTCTCAGTGATTTCAGTAACATCTGATTTATATCTCGATCCTTTATCCCGTCATTTCACTGATTTTCAGTTGTGATGTTTTTTTGGGGTTTTTAGACTTTTAGTAGAAATCTCAGAAAACTTTAAAAACTGAGCCGCTGTTTCAGAATTTTGGGGTTTTTACAATTTTTGGAAGGTTTTCAGTCATGAAGAAGGTGAAGATGTTGTGTAGAGTTTTAAAATAATCTATTGACTCATTAATATTAATGTCAGGCACATGTAGGTTACAGTGCCGTGCAGAAATCTTGAGCTCAGGTGTAGTGATGTCACTGAATAGTGAACCTCCTCTCAGCAGGAGGTCAGCGTGTCGGGTGAGGAGGCCGTGGAGCTGGACGGGGGTCCGTCTCCCCCTCCGGTCCTCTACCAGGGTCCCATCTTCCCTCCCCAGGCTCCCTCTGCCCTCCCAGCCCAGGATCAGGTCCCCGTCCTGGGCACGGTCCTGCAGCGGGACGTCCTGGAGACCCGGCTGGTGGAATGGTGAGAAACCAGCACGAACTCCAGACCGTGGAAACAACGCCACATTGTCACCATTTTGGTTTCTGTGTTCAGGGTGGAGCAGCAGCTGATGTCCAGGATGATCTCAGAGCTGTACTGGCCCCCGCCTTCTGACCACGCCCACAATAGCGACGTGGACCAGTCAGATCCAGAGGAGCGCAGCGTCACCTCAGACATTGGTAGGTGTACCTCCTCCTGCTCCTCCTCTTCTGCTCCCCCGCTGCTCCCTGACTGTTTGCTCCTCTGTGTGTCTGCAGTGGAGGCAGCAGGAGACGCAGGCCTGCAGCTGTTCGTGGACGCCAGCGTGCCCGTGGACTCTGAGTTAATCCGGCAGCTGGTGAACGAGGTTCTGGCTGAGACTATCGCCCTGATGCTGGGCCAGAGAGACCCGCTGGGCGCAGGACCAGACCCGGCGCTGGAATCAGCAGGACCAGCAGACCCTCAGGAGGTACGGAAACTCTGTCGTAGCGTCGTAGCGTTAAGCCCCGTCTCTGAAGGCCACCGCTTCTCTTCCAGAACGAACCGCTCCCATTGGTCCCCACACCGGAACCAACCCCACCGCCCAGCCCGGCCCCGCCCAGCAGAGAGACTACGGCAGTAACCACACCCCTTCCATCAGAACCGACAAGCCCGCTGAATAAGGAGCCTCCTCAACCAATCGCACCACCAGGTCTTTTGGTGACCTCAGAGCTCGTAGCCACACCCACTCTCAGCCCAGAGCCCACCCCCTCTGCAGAAAGCCCAGCTACTGTACACCAAGCCCCGCCTCCCTTCACTTGGGAAGAAACTGAGCTTCCATTGGATGAGGAGAGACTGGTGGAAGACATAACCACACACAAACCACCTCTGTATGTCCAACACACACACACACACACACACACACACACACACACACACACACACACACACACACACACACTTCCTGGTTCATTAACACGTTTCTTCTCCTGCAGGTTGATGTCAGTAGCGGAGGAGGAACCTCCTCTCTCTTCTCCTCACCCTCCTCCTCCTCCCTCCCTCCCCCCTGCTCGCTCCCCTTCTCCTCCTCCTGAGGCAGGACCGGCGTCCCCCTCCACCTCCTCCGAGGAGTCCAGCAGCTCCAGCACGGTGACGGCCGGCACTGAAGCAGCTCTGAAACACATCTCAGAGGGAGAGCTGCTCATCAGTGCCAACCAGCCGGCAGCCATGACAGGTACCATCATCATCATGTGTGTGTTAGCAGAACATCTGTAGCCTGCAGGTGTGACTCTGTGCTCTGTTTGTCTGTCAGGGGGCGGGGCTGTGTGTAGCTTCAACAGCTCTCTGCAGGAGCTGCAGGATATGGTGAGGAACCGCTGAGCAAGGCACTGCTGGAAGCTTAGCACAAGCTGAATATTAATATAATGATGTGCCCCCTCCAGGACTTTGACCCCCCCAGTGAAGGACAGGTGAAAGGTCGCGACCTCCTGCGGGCCCTGCTGACCAAAATGGAGCAGGGAGTCACACAGAGAGGAGAGAGGCCTCAGCCCGAGGTGAGCCTGCAGGCATCAGAGTGCATGTGAGAGGCACCACACCTCAGCTTATGACCTCTGACCTCGTATGTCCTTAGGGCTCCTGGGAGGGGGCGGACGGGAAAGTAAGCTTCACCCACAGCGGTCAGTCCGGCTCACCTGGACAGATCAGTCAGGCTGCAGGTACGCCTGCCTTCAGACGACGCTCAGGGACAAAAACACAAGTTTTGTCTCGTTTAACACAACAGAGCCACTCACACTGTTCTCATTCAGACACCTCCAGGTTTTACACTCTCACCTGGCTTCAGTCAGAAACTGGCCCCGCCTCTGATTCACCTCTGACATCACTCTGTTTCCATTCCCTGCAGATGTGTCAGAGGTCAGCTTTGAAGCCACCAATCAGGGCTCGTTTACTTTGGGCGACCTGACGGGGGAGCTAATAGGTACACTGACCTCTGACCTCCACACAGAGCTGTCGCTGTCTCCTCCTCCACACCTGGAGAACACACACACTCCAGGACAGGTGAGACACACAGACACACACACACGTTGGCTGTTTTCGTGTGTTTTAATTTTTATGCTGATAAGTGTGTGTGTGTGTTCAGGTGCTGCTGGTCAGGACGTCCAACAGTCACACAGGTAAGAAACACACCTGTCTGTGATTCTTGAATGATTTGTGTGTCTGCTGTTTTTTTTTTTGTTTTTTTTAGCTGAGATCACGGACGCCGCGAGCTTGGAGCAGCACAGGAAACATCGTCAGCCGATAAAAAGTGAGTCACTTTTTATCGGCTGACGATGGAGGAGATGAAATGAAATGAGCGAGTTTGGAACAACATTTGAGGAACAGAAACTGACCCCAGGTCAGCTGTCCACATACTTTTGGTCACATAGAGAATAAAATGGCTGCTCTTCATCGTGTGAGCAGCAGGGGGTGTCAAGTGTCCACACAAAAACCAGCCCGAGTCTCCCAGTGGGCTGCCCTGGTTCACTGCCCAGTGAACCAGGGCAGCCCACTGAGACCTGTTTGATTCCTAAAGATGACATCAGACACAGGAAACACCTGACAGGTAGATCAGTATGAAACTGACCTGCTGAGAGCCGCAGCTGTTAACGAGATCAGGTGACTCCTCACTCTTCAGCTTTTATTGTTTTAAAGTTGGAAATTTGGTGATGCTGATTGTAACACGACACAAACACCGCATCACGGCGGCGAGACGCCACCGAGGCGTCCCCGCACGGCGGCACGGTGCTCAGGTCGATGTTACATGACCAGGTGTTCTCTTATTACATCTGGAATTTGATCACATGGGTCACGGACGTCGAGCTGGGGCGCTCTGAGTTGGGTGAAGTGTTTAAGGAACAGGCTTCTGTCTGACTCCGCCTCCTTCGGCGAGGTGTCAGGTGGTGAAGGCAAACTTTTTAACGGGAAGCTGAGCAGGTCAAACACTCGCTCTGAGGAAATGGGAGCATGTGGGCGTGTACTCTTAGCTTTAGATCTCAACAACGAGGCAGTTGTGACATCATACAACCAGCGCCTTACAGGAACCAGAAACTGCTGCGGTTCACTTCCTGTGAATGAAACGTGCCTGAAGACAAGGACGAAGAACATCAGCCTCTCTCTTTGTGCTCTGGTTGTCATGGAAATATATCACAGCTGGTGTGCGCGCTAGAGATGGACCGATCCGATATTACGTATCGGTATCGGTCCGATACTGACCTAAATTACTGGATCGGATATCGGAGAAAAATAAAAAATGTAATCCGATCCATTAAATATCACGAAAGCACCTCACAAAACTTGCAACACGCCGTAACTCACCTCAGAACGTTAGCACGTCGGAGCAGTATGCATCACGTGATAGAGCGGCTGTGGCATGCGGGACCTGTCGGTGGTCTGGATAGCATTTGGAGCTTCGCTAGCAACCCGGCATTTCATCTCCGACAAAGTTATTCCCGAGAGAAGTAAAGCAAGTGTGTAAGTCCATCTCTGAATGTTTGTAAAGCATTCCTGCGTTAAGCTTAACAAGCGATATATGGAGCGACTGCCTCTTCTTGCTGCTACTTCAATCATGAAACTGCTTAACGATCAGCTGATCGGCTTTTCTGTCGGGAGTCCGTGTCTCTTGTTTCTTTTTGGCCCACTTTGCACCAGAAAGAGGAAACCAGTGGATAAACAACAGCAGCACGTTTAAGATTGATAAGCTGTTGTTAGAATTTATTTAGTATTACTTTCTACTCGAGGATCTTTTTCTACGTAGCTGACGCTGGTAACTGTGCAGGGGCGGATCTAGCAAAGTTTAGCCAGGGGGGCCGATAGGGCATTAACTGGGAAAAGGGGGCACAAAGACATACTTTTCTTTCTTATTCTCATTTAAAATGTCTAGTTTTTATTAAATAATTATCTGACACCCAAAGTTTTAATTTGATGTAAAATGAATAGAAGTCAATTACTGTATATAGTGACTATTAAGTCTAATATATATACCCTAGTAAGCTATAGTACTTTTTCCTTTGGGAAGGTACCATCTGTGCAGTCTGCAATTTTGTTGAAGAAAGATGTTGAATCTATTTAATATTTCTTGAAAAATAATTGATTTCTGTGCATTTTTTTCACACTGCATCAAATTAAGGTTGATTACGTTGATTAAGCATCATGAGGTGGAGCGTGAGGGGTGGTTCCCTATTTTTTATTTATTTATTTTTGTTGTTGCTGGGAGTTGGAACCCTATTAGTTAGGTTGCTTAATATTTACGCTAAGTACTCTTTAAAATACCAGAATAGGGAGGATGGTGTAGGTTTAAGTTTATTAGATTGATCAGTATTGCTGAACTATGAAATATTTTTTTTTGCATACAGGTATAACAGAATAGCTTTAGTGTAGTTGTTGTTTTAAACTTGAGTATGAACTTATACAAAATGCAGCAAGATATTTAAAAAAACAGTTTTGTTGATTAAAACACACTATATCGGATTCATATCGGTATCGGCAGATATCCAAATTTATGATATCGGTATCGGACATAAAAAAGTGGTATCGTGCCATCTCTAGTGCGCGCAGGCTTCACCGACCAATCAGAGCACGTGTTTACATACATCTGTGCGTGTGAAGGTTCGTCAGGTCCACCTTCGTCTCTTTAATTAGAAGATGCTCAGTAACCATGACAACGGAGGCATGTGTAGTAGCGATGGCTCTGTCTTGATCGCCATAGAGACGCAGGCTCATGGGCCACTCGCTCTGATTGGTTTATCTCTGGACACCGTGAGAACAGCTCTGCATAACTCAGTACATAATAATCCTTCTGTGTCTCGGCTCATCTGCTGTGTGAAACAAGCAGTCTTAGCTCCGCCCCCTTTAAGGCAATTAAAAGGAGCGTTTGAACGGCGGTCGGGAGGAGCCGTTCTGTGACATCACACAGACCCCTGAGTGTTGAGAGCAGGCAGCGTCGTTACTGTCCTCACACTGAGCTCATTGTCCTGTTTGAACGCCCGTCCCAGCGGCAGGAGTCATGTGACAGGAAGTGAGGAGCAGCAGTTTCACAGAGGGTTCGATTCAGTGACTGAAACAAAAATAAATCGTTTTCAGGGACAGGAAGTGAGGCGTCCAGACCTCCATCATGGCGGCTCCTCCTCACAGTGAGCTCAGTGTCCTGCAGCTCCTCACACCGCCTCCCGTCTCCCCGTCAGAGCTCCTCTTTCATGCTCCTCCCTGCTGGAGACAGCCGCTCAGTGTGTCCCAGAAACCCACAGCTGCTTTTCCATTCCTGGTGGCAGCTCAGGGTCAGCGAGTTCCTGCTGCTCTCAGGCTTCAGACTAACCTCATGAGCCGAGCCGGCAGAAGGAAACGGACGCGTCAAAGGGTTTCTCGTCACCTCCTCTTCCTCGCCTCGAGCGCGCCATAATGCTCGGCTGTGACCTCAGCGAGCCTCTTTCTCCTTTCACAGTGCTCTGATGTCAGCGCGTTATGTAAACGCTTTACTCACTCAGCAGATATGAACACTGCAGCTCCGAGTGCTGCCCCTCTGCAGGCTTCCAGAGCTCAGCCAGTCAGAAGAAGGCTAGGTTAAAGGGGGGAGGAGCTGAGGAGTTTATTACTAATGGAGTCATGCAAAGCTGCTCTCCAGAATAAAAGATTCAGCAGGAAGAAGTTCAGCACATTCAACAGCGGGACGAATCAGAGTTCTGTTGTTTACAGTGCTCCAGTATAAACAGTAATAAAAACAGACAACACACACATATACAAAATATACAATATACATATAAGTCACTTACTAATAAATATCTGAATAAGAAAGAAGAGCGTGTGCAAAAAAGGTGTAGCTATGGCAGTAAACAGTGTGTTGGGTGGAGGAGTTGTACAGGGAGCCACAGGCAGGAATGATTTCCTGTGTCGTTCAGTGGTGCATTATGGGTAATCTCAGTCTCTCACTGAGCGTGCTCCTGTGACTGACCAGCATGTCATGGAGTGGGTGGGAGGTGTTATCCAACATTGTCTTTATCCTGGACAACAATGGCCTCTGCAGCACCACCCTAAGAGAGTCCAGCTCCATCCCCACGACATTGCTGATCAGTTTATTGAGTCTGTTGGCATCAGCAACCTTCAACCTGCTGCCCCAGCATGCAACAGTGTAGAGGAAAGCACTGACCACAACAGACTCATAGAAAATCCTGAGCGTTGTCCGACAGATGTTGAAGGACCTCAGCCGCCTCAGAAAATAGAGACGACTCTGGCCTTCCTGTAAGTCCAGTTTATTTTCAGTGTGTACTCCAAGGTATTTATAATCCTCCACAATGTCAACACTGACCCCCTGGATTGAAACAGGGGTCAAGTGTTTCCTGGTCTTCCTGAAGTCCACTATCAGTTCCTTGGTCTTTGCCACGTTGAGCTGCAGATGATTCTGCTCGCACCACGTGAGTGTAATAACGGCAAGGTGGGCGGGCCCAGCTTCCTGTGTGGACGCAGCTGAATTCATCTTATGTGTTTGTATCTGCAGCTCGACAGCAGGAGGAGGAGGGAGGAAGCAGGAAGATGGGCGTCCACCTGCCCGCCGTAAGACCTCCGGAGGAGGAGGAGGTGATGGAGGCGTCGGTCAGTGCGGTGGCAGACTCGGATTCCTCCACCAGCGATGGTTTTTAAAAAGAATATTTTTATATTTCAACTCATTTCAAATAAATAAAGTCTGATGGAAACCAAACAGATGTTATAATAACTTCATTTTTAAAATTTGCTCACAGCAATAAAAGCTTAATGCTACACTTAACCAAAGAAACAAAAACCCAAAGAGACACGTGAACATCTTAATCAAACACCATCCTCTTTGAGTTTATTCTCTGAGACTCAAATAATGTTAGATATACTTCAAATAAAGTTTCACTAACCCGGGCAAACAGCAGCTAATAGAAGCTAACAGAGATCCCAGCTAAATAGCAGCCCTTACAGACAGCTCAGCATATGTTCAACAGCTGGTCAGCAGTGAGCTTCGCTGACTCGCTGACTCGTATCGGCTCCTTTCACAAAGCGTTACAGCCCCCAGAGTAAATAAAGATGGACGCCTCTCCCCCGGCATAGACAGCTGATGTAAACGGTACGATCATATTTAATGATCATATTTAATGTTTTTGATCTCTTGAATGACTAAAACATGTTTAGCCAGGATTATGCAGTTGAATCTGGAGAGGCGGGGCCTTTGTGTGAGTCAGAGTCCTGTCAGCGGGCGTTCGTAGCCTTCAAAAAGTTCCCGCAACTTCTTATCGGACAGTTAGAATGTGTGCTGATAACAAGCTGATGGTTTTTAACTTCTCACCTGTAAATATAAATGTGGCACAGCTACCGTATGTTGCTAACATGTGGAACTAATGTGAGGCTCCATAAAACGCCATTGCTGTAAAAACGCTGTAAGAACGCAGATGACTCGACTCCTCCATTCAACGGCTCCAGGGGAAGGGGTAGGAAAACAGATCTACTGCCATCTAATGGTGAAAAACATTTGTACAGTTTACCTTTAAAATCAAATTACATAAATGCAGCGCCACCTGCTGGCCACGGAGGATTCGTGTCACATCTGTCATGGAATTTAAAGAGCGATAGTTTGACTCTATTGCTTTTGTGACATGACGACGCTTAAAGACGTAAACCAAACTCTCCAGGTGTCGCCTTCATGTGAAAATGTTTCTTTTTATTAATTTTTTTCCGCCTGTCCCGTTTGGTTCTTTGGCCATCAGAATTATTGTCTAAAGGCGAAGAAAGATGCCCAACGGATTTACTTTACCAGATGGACCATCCCGGCATCGCCGTATTGGAAAATGTGTTTCTTTGTATTTCACCTTCACGGTGAATTTCACTCATCAGTCATTCGAAATCACAGAGTCAGCCTGCAAGTCCAAACCATGGGAACATTTCCTATTACACAGCACACGCACACACACACACACACTCAGCAAACACAGACTGTGTTGCAGATAAAAGGATGATGGGGAGGAAATGGGATTAGTGAAGCAGCGAGGGAGACAGTGAGACTGACACTGACCAGGGCTCTCACACACACACACAGATCTGCAGGGGCCTCTGGGTCATGTGGTAGCAGACTGATCCTGACAGTGTGAGGAATCCAGCACAGAAAACCCCGCAGGAAGCTGTTATTTACGACAATAAGAGCTCAGCGATAAAGTCAGCTCTTCACAATAAAAGCTGAGCTGAAAATACAGAAATTTGTTTTATGTAAACGAAATAAATATTTTATGATTTCATCAGAAGTGAAACGATCCTGACAGTGTGAGGAATCCAGCACGTCTGCTGGTGTGTGTGAGAGAGAGTATCGATCAGGCTAATCAATCGGCTCTCTGAGGGTCCGTGTGTTTGTGTGACGATCGATGTTCTCAGAAAGAGGCTTGAACTCTGTGCAGGTTTAACTAAGCTGCAGATGATCAGCGAATCTCCAGCCACAGGAAACACACATACACACACATACACACACTGCTTCTCTACCTGCAGTCGTGTTTCTGATTGATCAGCTGAGCCCTGACTCAAAGATCTCATTTCGCAGTTAACGAGGCTGAAGTTCAGGTCAGCTGAGAAATAATCAGAAAAAATGATTTTCTGCAGGGATTAAAGACAAACATGAGAGCAAGGATGCTTCGAGTGCTGCACTGAGCAGAACAGTGTGTGTGTGTGTGCGCGTGTGTGTTACTGATCCATAAATATGTACAGAAACTTTCATGGAGCTGCGTTTGCTCCTCTGGTCCTGATCAATATTCCATCCTGTGTTTTTTTTGTTGTAAAACAGAAGTTTGTTGTCATGACGTTCAGCTCCACCAAAGCAGAAGATGAGATGTCATCGTGTGGTCATCGTGTGCTGCCCTCTGTCTGGAGCTCTGATGGTTAAAAATTAGTTTGTCTTGTAAAAATCTGAGGAACTAAAGCTCATCGACAGATTGTCTGAGCTGACTGAAACTGGGGCTGTCCTTCGCAGGAGGCGGGGCTCAGGACGGCTTAAGGAGGTTCTCGTGACCTTCAAGATGTCTGAAGTGCTCCACCTTAGAGCGAGCTGGAGCTGAAGATGTGGATGATTTGGACGTTAAAGTCTGCATCCCCCTGAGGACTCCGGGAACCATCACCAGGTAACACATGCAGGGTCGTCAGGGCAACGCATCACTTCCTGCTCCCCCATCAGCAGCTGGTCCCGTCCCTTTAAACCTTCAGGCTGAACCTGAAGGAGCACCGTTCTGCTGCCTTTTTGTGTTCCCGTACCCGGCTCAGCGGCGTCTTTGAGCCTGCCGGCTCGCCTGATTGGTCGACAGGTGACAAGCCGATTAGTTTTTTCTAACAGGACGTTTTGTCCCGAGCTGCAGCAGAGAGCAGGCTCCAGGTTTTTAGGAGGATTTCTGGGTCTCAGACTCAGCAGATTACTTATTCCTCATGAAAAGGCCCGACGCCAGGACATCACAGGAGCTTAACAGGAAGTCGCTGCACAGAAGAACAAAGGCTTCTCAGCGCAGCGTTGTTAGACCTCTGATTGGTCAAGTGTAGCGTGTCCTACCACAGGTCAACTTCACCTTCACGCTCAGCTCGCTCCACCACGACAAACCGGTACGCCGTCCACATCATCCACCCATCATCATTACCTGTGAGAGGAACACCTCACACGCCATCATAGCCCCGCCCAGTCTGAGATAAAGGCCACGTTCTGGCACTGTGAGGTTTCCAAGACACTCTCCTTGCCTCGCTACACTTTGATGATTTGTTTTATGTTGTCTGATCTCTGATCAGCTTCACGAGGTCTCGGCCTGTCAGACAGTGAGTGACTGCCGACCGTGGTCAGCAGGGGCGCTGTGCTGTGAGCGCCTCCTTAACGTGTTAATGAAGCATGACCTCATTAGCTGACTGAGAGTGTTGTGACCCAAAAACCACACAAAGGACCTCTCACTGTCTGTTCAGCTGTTTGCAGGAGAACAATAAAGATTAGTCAAAGTAATGACGCGTACAAACACGATTTCAGCTCTCAGCCACGCCCCCCGCCTCTGCAGATGAACTGGTAGAAAAATAAAAGCTTCTAATAAAAAGTTTGGTTTTGGTAGAACTTGTTTGTTGTTTGCAGTTATTTCCTTTTTTAGTGACAATAAATTCTAATGTAACATAAAAAATAGAAACTAAATGTTTCCATTTTGTGGTTTATTAAAACCACGAAGCGGTTCTAATAACATCGCATAGCTGACGGCTTTAGGACCTGCGGGAAACCGTCAGAGAACAGACCGGCCTGAGTTGCAGCGCATCATGCCAACGATAATTAACATGATCAGGCAGGAAGTGCCCTGACTCCGCCCTCCAAATAAAACCCCATGCTCGGTCCGATGTTAAAATAAAAGCCTTGACAGTGGTTCAGTATTTTTGCTGCTCTCGTCTGCAGTCATTCGACTCCAGTCATAAGTTAAAAACTCGTTTCTGCTGCAAACAGCTGAGCAGAGATCAGGACAGCAGACACAAACGTAAATGATAATAAATTCATATTTCAGCATGCTCACTATCCACTGGGACGGTTTCTCTTTTATATGCTTCATTTCCTGAAAAGGATCGAATGTGTTTGTAGTTTTAATGAACTTTATGACTGATATTATTGATCATCTGTCCTGATGCTCATGTTGATGACTGTGTTTGTTCATATTTACTGTGACGATTGGGCCTCGTTTCTCTACAGAGGGTTGTGCGGTCAGCTGAGCGCACCATCCGCTCAGAGCTCCCTGACATGCACTCAATCTACAGCAGGCGGTGCTGGACCAAGGCCAGGAAGATCGTGAAGGACCTCAGCCATCCAACAATGGACTGTTCTCTCTGTTGAGGTCAGGAAAGCGATTCCGCTCCCTGAAGACCAACACAGAGAGACTGAGGAGGAGCTTCTTCCCGCAGGCGATACGGTCTCTCAATCACACCACCACACAGTCCTGACCCACACATATAGTTCTTACACACACACTGGACATTGTTTTCACTTCATCACTTAAATCACTTTAAGCATATTTGCACTGCACAAGACATAATGTGGATTGCACAACACTGGTCACTACATTCTTCATTTCCGGTTAATACTTGTACAGCTGCTGTTATTGTGTATATATTTATTTATATTTAGATTTCTTATATAGTTCTATATTGTGTATTTTGTTGTACAGTTATTTTATTTTCAACTTTAATTTATATATTTTATCTTATTCTTTCCCAGTTAAATTTACCCTTCATTCTAATTTGTGTTGTACAGTTATTTCATTTTAACCTTAATTTATATTTTATTCCTTCCTAGTTAAATTTACCCTTTTTAATTTTTCATATTTATTTCCTATCTTATTCATAGCCTTTTCCTTTTTTGTTTTCTTTAGGTCACGAGCAGTTGTCCAAGCATTTCACTACATATCGTACTGTGTATGACTGTGTACGTGACAAATAAAATTTGAATTTGAATTTCTTCAAAAATCAAGTCTCAAAACACATTTTCAAAATCTACATGAAAGCTTGAATCGTGTTCTTGGTTCACAGCGTGCGTATCCTTTAGGGGTATGGAATGAGCTCTTCTGCAGTATAAAAAGTGAAACTGAGGTATTTTTATTTTGAAGGAGAGGAAAGGAAGCGCGCGTTTGTCTGCTGGGCTTGTCTGTACACAGGGGGCGGGGTTTAGCGGTAGAGGGTGCAGCGGAGGTTCAGTGTGTTCGGAGCTTCGGTGGCGCCAGCAGCTCCCAGCTCTGCCCGCATCTCTGCGCCTTCTCTCGGGTTCTGTGCGTGCGGCGGCTCCGGGGAGGCTCGGAGCTCCCTGCGGACCGCTCGAGGACACCCCGCAGCGTATTGCGGACGGCACCGGCGGAGACCTGAGGGCCGGTTCGCGCTCCGGGGCTTTCAGGTGAGGTCCAGGTGGGCTCGGCAGGTGTGTCTCCGCGGGATGCTCCCGCCCTGAGCTCTGTTGGGAGATGCTGCCGTCCGGGACCTCCAGGCGGGACAAAGCGGCGGTCCGAGAGCGGTTGGAGGCCTCCGTGTCCGGGCTTGGGGAGCTGGAGCTCCTGCGGCGGCGGCAAGAGGTGCTGGTCCGGGCCGCGCTGGAGCTCCGGGAGCCGCGAGAGGAGGAGGAGCGGCAACGGCGAGAGGCTCAGCTGAGCTCGGAGGAGAAACTGCTGGAGGGGAACATCCTGCTGCTCCGGAAACAGCTGGTAGGTCCTCACCTGTGTCTGTCTATGACCTCTGACCTCTGTGAGCCTGGGTCAGGGTGCAGGGAGTGGTCAGCCTGACGGTCACGTGCAGAGCTGCAGGTAGTCAGCTGATCATCTCCCATGACATGTGAGCAAAAACCATTTAATATTTACACTTCTCCATATTTTACATGAAAAACACTAAAAATGTGTTTGTGAAAGAAAAGAATGTCGTTCATTAATAATTAAAAGTATACGTTTATATTAAAATGAGTAAAACAAACTTATTTTATCATTATGTTATCATAAAGAAATAACTTTATGTTGTTATTTACATCAATAAATATTCAAAATCAATTATTTCTTTCTGGTGAATTTGAACCTGCTGGGCGGGTTTCAGAAAATCGAGTTATTAAATTTAAATTTTAAGTTAAAATCAGCGAAAACACAGAATTGATCGATCGATCGGTAACAGCAGAGACGAGGAGGCGGAACCTCACAGTGGGTGTGCAGCAGACAGAGATGAGATGAGGACTGAGCACAGAGCCCTGAGGAACTCCTCAGGCTGACCTGAGATCAGCTCACCTGTGGCAGGTATGCTAGAGCAGTGGTTCCCATGGCGATAATTTATCAGAGGAAGAGGAACAGGCTTCTGATTTTTCCCGAAGATTTTCTATGAGGCCTCAAAGCTGCTGATCCATCAGATTGGAAAATCACCTGTTGTCAGGCCACGCCTCCTACATCAGTTGTGGGACAGTCACACCTCTGTGGCTGAATGTCTCCTGCTCTGTTGTCGGACTTGAGAACATCTGCGTACCTGCACAAACCTGGACTTCCTGTTTGAGTCGGCGTCACCTGAAATGAGCGACTGAGTTCAGAAACATATCAGGAAGGTGTTCACTGAGGGCGGAGCTGGAAGTGAAGGTGTGAGGCACATCTAAATTGGCTGTTTTGTCGCTCAAACTTCGGCATCACGTGGACGGCTGCAACCAATCATGTGCCTCATTCCCACAATCCAGAGCTTCACTGACCCAAACACAGGCGCACGAACACAGCTTCAGGCTGACGTGAAGCTAAAACCAAAAAGGTCAAAGGTCAGAGACCAAGGAAGCTTCAAGTTGGGAAGAAGAAAAACAGGAAGTGATGTCACACCGAGGTTGATGTCAGGCTGAAGCTGAAGATGTGGAAACGCTGGAACGGGCCCGGCCTTCACTTGGATCTCCACTGAGAGCACTTCCTGTCAGTTGACCGTCAGCTGTTGTCCCCGTGCTGCGTTCAGGTGCCGCTCCTCACACGCCGGCGTGTCAGTAAGAGCTTTGAAGTGTGGGCGTGAAGTCAAACAGGATGGAGGCGCACAGAGGGGAGGAAGAGTCTCCTCGTCTTCATCTGCTCGGTCAAGGCGCATTCAGGTGCACGTTGGGAAGCCTGGACATGCGGGCGCTGTGTTCTTGTCCAGGATCTGACCTCAGATCTGCTCCCGGCTCACATGTCTGAGCTGGTCGAGCATTTGTTTGCTGTCTGTCCTGCAGCTGAAGCTCTTCCTCGCAGTCTGGATCGCATTAGTGACCCCCCACCTCCCACCACATTCAGCCCTGCCCCTCCCCTTACGAACAAATGGAGATTCCTGCGAGCGGCTGGAAACTCTGCAGCTCGACTTTCAGCTGAGACACAAACCAGGCGGCTGACTCATTCTCTAAAATCAGACTCAGAACGGACTGAGTGCGCTCAGAACGCTCTGTGTCTCACAGCTATTCTGGTCCGATCCGTAATGTCCACAAACTCTGAACCGAGTGGCTACTCTGACCTCTGACCTACTGTGTACTGTCCTGTGTGCAGTAGTATTGTGTGTACTGTGTGTACTGTGTGCAGTAGCACTGTGTGTACTATACTGTAGTATGTACTGCTGTGACGTCAGGCTGGGCGCCATGTTGCTGTTTGGAGGTTTCTGATTGGCCCGTGGCTCATGCCGCTCGCTGTCGGCTTGTGCAGACCGTCGGCCGCAGTGCCGCTCGAGCTTCTTCACTGAAACCAGCCGATCGCTGCACAGGTGTCGAAACAGAGTAATCTGATTACAGTAACCTGTAACTTTATAGGGACATCAGTGTCGTTAAACATGGTTTTTTTGTTCTTTTTGGAACAGCTGATTGATTTGTGACATCAGCTCTGTTTTTACGATCAGACCGACGCTGGCGCCTGATTGGCTGCTCTGTGGTGGGCTGCAGAGCGTTTGAACGCAGCAGGGAGGAGCTTCCAGGCTTGAAACGGAGCTCGTGCTGCTGCACATTAAAGCGCTGAGGACCGACGCAGTCATGAGGTCAGCTCTTCGCTCTTTATTGGAACAGCATGATGGTGAAGAGGCAGGCTTTTATTTTGAAGGCTCACAGAGGTCCTTTAAACGTTTCTTAGGGTGAATTCGTAAAGCTGAACGAGCAGACATACAGCAAGCTACGAGTAGAAACAGTGTTACCTGGGCGAACAGGTGGGCTGTCCCGATTCGTTTGTGTTTTTGTGTCTTTTCGGGCATTAACTGGGCCACTGAAGCCACTCTGAGCTAAAATCCGTGTTTTTTGAATGGTGTCAGGTAGATAGTGAATTTAAACCTTTAAGTCCTCTATGTGTGTTTTATAGTTGGAGCATGCTCAGTGCTGCAGGACGGCTGCGTGTGTGTGTGAGGTAGTGTTTAGCCTCAGCATCGATCTGACCGAAGCCGCTTCGTCCCGATTGGTTTAAAATATCACCACGTGGAGACTGAAGCCAGCAGGCAGCTGATAGAGAAAACAGCTGGATGGGTTACACACACACACACACACACACACACACACACACACACACACACACACACACAAACACACACACACACACAACAGAGTAACACACACACACAGAGTAACACACACACACATGATCCTTTATTATTGATCGACTATTGATGATGTATTGGTGGCAGCAGCTGTGTGTGTGTTGCAGTTCAGTTGCAGGAATGCAGCACATGACCCGCAGCAGCGCCGCATAGCCCGTATGTTTTCCATTGTAGCGGGGGAGGGGCTGCTTCAGCCTGTGTGTGTGTGTGTGTGTGTGTGTGTGTGTGTCAGTTTGTTACCTTCGGTCTCTGTTTATAGCGACATGTTTTGTCACATGACTTCCTGTTTGTCCTTAAAGCCTTTCAGGACGTTTCGATGTGAAAAATGTTTGAGGTGATTTTGGATGTTAGAGTCAGCTGGTACTTCCTGTGAAGTCGACGCTGATTTGTCTGAAGTCTGAGCTGCTTCCTGTTCTTCCATCAATAATCAGTAATCAATAATCTTACGGTCTGAGGCCCGGTGGTCTGTCCTATGACCATCCAGGATCTTTGGTGTCTCTGTGACCTCTGACCTTCAGTGTCTGGTCTCACACTGATAAGAGTCTCTGGTTTTCTTCTGTTTGTGCTCAAAGCTTTTATTTTTATAAGCAGGACCAATCAGGGGCAGCGTTACTGCTCTGAGTCTGAGGTCTTCACATCAGCTCCGCCTCCCTTGCGTGCTCCTGAAGTTTGATCTTTCAGCTGATCTCAGGTGTGTTCTCTCTGGGATGAGTGCTCCTGTTCTTCTTCTGCTGTTCGGAGCAGAGACGAAACAGGAAACAGCGGACCCCACGGCGATGAAGAGGAAACCCTCAAATGGAGGGTCTTTTTTTGACAGTTAAAACAAAACAAGAAAAAAGTTCGAGCCTGAAAATAAAAACCTGAGAATAAAGAGAAAAATTTTTTTTTAGAAATACGTGAAAAGAGAAAAGTTGAGTTTGACTTTTGCTGCACACGTGATGACAAAAACACAAAAGTCCAGATTTAAAAGTTCAGAAACCTCAAAGATAAAAACCATAAAAATGTTTTTAAAATGAAGAAAATACTTTTGACTGATTTTAATACAAAGGTCAAAGGTCGTCTGTGAATAACATAAATCAAAAGTCCAGATTGTCCCCTTTTATTCTCTGTTAGTCATTCAGACTGTGGTTGTTGTTGTGTGTTGTTGTCACGGCGGTGTGCGATCTCAGCTGTTTGTGTGTCAGAACTGTTTGAGGAGGCGGGACGCCGGCCTCATTGCTCAGCTGCAGGAGCTCGACCGACAAATCAGTGACCTGCGATTGGACACTGGGACGTCACATGAGCCCGACAGCCGACCGAGCTCAGGTACGCCGTGTGTGTGTCTGTGTGCGTGTGTGTCTGTGTGTGTGTGTGTCTGTGTGTGTGTGTGCGTCTGCGTCTGTATGTGTGCGTCTGCGTGTGTGTGTCTGTGCGTCTGTGTGTGTGTGCGTCTGCGTCTGTGTGTGTGTGCGTGTCTGTGTGTGTGTGCGTCTGTGTGTGTGTGTGTGTGTGTCTGTGTCTGTGTGTCTGCGTCTGTGTGTGTGCGTCTGCGTGTGTGCGTCTGCGCGTGTGTGTCTGTGTGTGTGTGCGTCTGTGTGTGTGTGCGTGTGTGTGTGTGTGCGTGCGCGTCTGTGTGTCTGTGTGTGTGTGTGTGTGTCTGTGTGTGTGGTGTGTCTGTGTGTGTGCGCGTCTGTGTGTCTGTGTGTGTGCGCGTCTGTGTGTCTGTGTCTGTGTGTGTGTGTGCACGCTGAGACTGGTGGAGGTTAAACTGATTAAACAGGAAGTGAGATGATTTTTCAGATTCAGAAGTTTTGAGCTGAGCAGAAAAAGTTTCAAAATAAAAAATGTCAGATTGAAAGTGAGGTCTTTAACTGTTGCCATGACGATAGATGTAAATTTGAGCTTTGTTAATCCCGCCTCCTCCCTCCCTCAGGTTTCTACGACCTCAGCGACGCCGTGTCCGGCTCGCTCTCCAACTCGTCTAACTCGGTCTTCAGCGAATGTTTCTGCTCGACGGCCGACGCCGACGGACGCCTGCCGTCCACAGGTACCCGTGCCCTCTAGGCGGAAACGCCACTCTGTTCATAGACTGTATGTAAAAGATGGTGGAAGTTGCCGTGACCTCGCACAGACCCGTGCTGATGAAAACCGTCCGATCAAAATCTGCTGTGCCACTTCCTGCCGCGGACCCTAAAACGTTCGTTCAAGGCAACAAGCGTGGCGTCCAGATGTGCGCTGCTGCAGCTGCTGCAGCTGTTTGCCAAACAGCTGATTGTTGTGAGGTCACACACAGCCCCTCCTCACCTCTGCTCTTTGATGTCACATGACTCAACTATCCATTTGGTCACTTTGATGTATAAACACACACACAGTGACTTGACACCGCCCCCCCACACACACACACACACACACACACACATACACACACTCAGAGGAGGACTTGGACTTTCAGAATAAAAGCTTTCAGATTACTGGGTGGACGTGTTAGATTCCTGATGATGGCAGCTGGTTTAGAAGCGGCTGGCTGTGGAGCTGTGGAGGACCAGCTCGGTCCTCGGTTACAGCAGGCCTGCAGCCTCCTCGCGCTCATCAAGATGTCCTCGAGATGCATGTCTCTAAGGATGTGTTGGGTCACAGCTGGGGATGTTTGGAGGCTGGACTGTGATTGTTGAGGCTGAAAGATGCAGACCTCGTGGAGCACTTTAACTAACATCAGTTTAAAGTCTCGCTGCTCAGCGTGAGCAAAGCCTGCAGATCCCACAGGACGCTGAAAAAGCGCCCCAAAGCCAGTCTGTCTGCATTAAAATGAGCCACTCTGTGACCTTTGACCTCCAGCGGGAGTCTGCCGGCTTCCTCTGGCAGCACAGAGAAGATTCCTTTAAACAAACCTCGAGCGCTGCAGGCTTCCTGAGGCACTGCTCATACTTGGCACTAACACATCATCAGATAAGCGGCGTGAACACGCCCACGCATTTCTGTCTCTGTGCGACCGATCTGCAGCAACAAGTACTCCACGACCAGCCCGAACGCACCGCCAGACGCTGCAGCGTCACCTTCTATGGTCATGTTCAGGCACCGCGGGCCGTCTGCACGTCCGCTTCACGCTCTCTTTCATTCCTGCCTCTCTGATTATTTGTGTCCACGAAGCCCCCGAGTGCCGGCGTGAGACCCAACCCCGCTGCAGAGCGCGGCGCATCACAGCGAGAAAGACATCAGCGACGCTTCATTAACGTTATCGGCTGCAGCTGACCGACGCCTGCCAGAGCGCCGCCACACTTTAATGCTCCGCCCATCACAGTGGAGTAACAACCTGTGTGTGTGTGTTTTCTGTGTGTGTGTTGTTTGGGTCGCTGTGGAAGCTGTGTGTGTGTGCTTTTTCTGTGTGTGTGTGTGTGTGTGCTTTTTCTGTGTGTGTGTGTGTGTGTGTGTGTTTTTTCTGTGTGTGTGTGTGTTGTGTGTGTGTGTGTTTTCTGTGTGTGTGTGTTGTTTTTTCTGTGTGTGTGTGTGTGTGTGTGTTTTTCTGTGTGTGTGTGTGTGTGTTGTGTGTTTTCTGTGTGTTTTTTTTTTTTTTTTTTTTGTTGTGTGTGTGTTTTTTTGTTGTGTGTGTGTGTTGTTTTCTGTGTGTGTGTGTGTGTGTGTGTGTTTTCTGTGTGTTTGTGTGTGGTGTGTGTGTGTGTGTGTTTTCTGTGTGTGTGTGTGTTTTCTGTGTGTGTGTGTGTGTTTTCTGTGTGTGTGTTTTCTGTGTGTGTGTGTGTGTGTGTGTTCTCTGTGTGTGTGTGTGTGTGTGTTTCTGTGTGTGTGTGTGTGTGTGTGTTGTGTGTGTGTGTGTGTGTGTGTTTCTGTGTGTGTGTGTGTGTGTGTGTGTGTGTTTCTGTGTGTGTGTGTGTGTGTGTGTTTTCTGTGTGTGTGTGTGTGTGTGTGTGTGTTTTCTGTGTGTGTGTGTGTGTGTGTGTGTGTTTTCTGTGTGTGTGTGTGTGTGTGTGTGTGTGTTTTCTGTGTGTGTGTGTGTGTGTTTTCTGTGTGTGTGTGTGTGTGTGTGTTTTCTGTGTGTGTGTGTGTGTGTGTGTGTTTTCTGTGTGTGTGTGTGTGTGTGTTTTCTGTGTGTGTGTGTGTGTGTGTGTGTTTCTGTGTGTGTGTGTGTGTGTGTGTGTTTCTGTGTGTGTGTGTGTGTGTGTGTTTCTGTGTGTGTGTGTGTGTGTTTTGTGTGTGTGTGTTCTGTGTGTGTGTGTGTGTGTTGTGTGTGTGTGTGTGTGTGTGTGTTTGTGTGTGTGTGTGTGTGTGTGTGTTTTTTCTGTGTGTGTGTGTGTGTGTGTGTTTTTCTGTGTGTGTGTGTGTGTGTGTGTGTGTGTGTGTGTGTGTGTGTTGTGTGTGTGTGTGTGTGTTTTCTGTGTGTGTGTGTGTGTTTTCTGCGTGTGTGTGTGTGTGTGTTTTCTGGTGTGTTGTGTGTTTTCTGTGTGTTTTCTGTGTGTGTTTTCTGTGTGTGTGTGTGTGGATGCCTCGTAGCTCCGCCATCCTTCCTGTGGGAGCTCAGAGCTGCTGTGAAGCTGATCGAGCCGCTGGTCGTGTTTGTGTCTGATGTGCGAGCGTGGGCGTTCTCGTTGGCCCCGCGAGGTCGGCGGAGCTTCGGCTTTGTTCTCAGACTTCAGCTGCTGAATAAACGGCGTTTTCGGCCGTGAGGCGGCCCATGTGGTTACGCTGTGTTCAGTCTGATTTCCACTGCAGGGAGAGCAGTGGGTGTGGAGGGTTAGCGTTTCACAGCACACTGTCTCCACTGAAAGAATGTTCCACTTACTAATGCCCGAGCTTCCACAGCGACCCAAACAGCCGAGCATTTCGTCAGAGCAGCGCTGCCTGGAAACGGCCCGCTCTCCCTGAACTTCCTGTCAGCTGTTAGCAAACACAGCGGCGTTAAAATAAGCTCACCGTGTTTACGTTTGAAGCTGTGAGGGGAGGGCACACGCTCACCATCACACGCGCTCGCCATGTAAACGAACACCCCCGACTGCTCGCTAATGTCGCCTTCTTTCTGTCTGCAGATGAGCTGGCCAGCTGTTTGGAGTGTGACGTCCTGGTTGGAGGGCTTTGTGATGAGTCATCGTCTTCTGGCACGGTCCGCCGCTCGCTCTCGGCTCCAAACCCGCCCACTGTGGATGCAGCCTCGTCCTTTCTTTCCACTGAGCCTCAGTCTAAATACCACTGTGACCTGGTGGCCCGAAATGGCAACGATGTTTATCGCTACCCGAGTCCTCTGCACGCCGTGGTGGTCCAAAGCCCCGCCTTTCTGCAGATGTTGGGTTTCGGAGGTCCCGGCAGAGATGAGGCAGACACCTCAGCTCTTCCCCCCTCTGTTTCAGCCCCCCATGTATCTCAGAGCTACTCCTGGCCGGCCTCCTCCTCACAGACTCCTTCCCATAAGCGACTGGACAGCTACATCTACAGTCTGCTCCAGAGGAAGGCCCAGCCAATCAGGACCAGCAAACCCAGGACCAGCATCAGCACCGACCCCTCAAAGAGCATCCTCAGGCAGGCTAGTCTGTGTGTGAGGCAGGTGTCCGGCCCTGGCTCTGGTTTTGGGACTCTGAGTGCATCCGAATTTAAAGCCTTGTGGACGGCTAGAGGAACATCGGCAGAGGGAGCTGGGACCTCGTCTCCACAGAGGCAGTGGTCTGTGGACGGGAAACTGGAGGAGCAGGAGACCCAGAGCGTACTGAAGGATGGCGGCTTTGAGGCGACGCACGATGGCTTCAGGAGGGGCAGCGGCGAGTCCGGCTCTCCTCTTCGGTACGACGTACAGAGCAGCTGCACTGCCAACAACCATGACAGCAGCACCAACAGTCTGAGAAAGAAGAGCAAAGCAGATCTTCCTCACGCCACGCTGTCTGCCAAAACTCTCCCTAAAAACTTCAGGGACCTGGGCAGTCCCAAAGCTAACCCCGCCCCCAATGAGGTCAAACCGCCATGTTGCCCCCGGACCAGGAGATGTTCCTGAAATCTGCTCCAGTCATGAAAACACAGTCGAGTACTCCCAGGAATAGTCCAGGAACAGGAAGGTCAGCACTGGAGCTCACCAGTGTGGGGTCCTCCTCCCAGAGTCAGGACGAAGCAGCCGCCGAAGGAGGAAGCTGTCACACGGTTACCAACAGGTATGTCCCCGCCCACCAGCACAGACTTCGCAAGGGCGGCTTCAAGAATGTGAAGGTGAGGAGCTCATTGATGAAGACGAGTCATGTCTCTGAGCACAGCGAGCCTCCACCAGAGAGAAGACAGGACAAACTCCGCCACAGGTCCCGCCTCCTGGAAGATGGAGGCTCCGCCCACGTTAAAGTCTCCAAGAGATTTGCTTCCTCAAGAATAAAGCGCCTACCTGCATCCATCCCAGAAGGCAGAGTGCTGGACAGACAGCCCCCATCGGCACTACACGGCGCACGACCGAGCATATCCAAGCACCATCACCATGGAAACCATCACTGCTGCAGTGGTAACCACCACCATCACCACGGACGCAACCAGGTCGTGGTCGTGGCCAAACCAAAGTACAAAAGGAACGATTACCGGCGGTTACGAGCCATGATGGAAGTCCCGTACGACGAGGCGTTTAGACGTGCTCAGCGGCGTCAGAGAAAGGAGCTGCTGAACAGCAGCGTGTACCCGCCCGCCGGAGCGCGGCTGACCAGCCCGTACTCATACACAGCAGGAAGTGACTCCGAGTACTCAGCTGAGTGCGCCTCACTCTTTCACTCCACCATCGTGGACACCAGTGAAGACGAGAGGTCGAACTACACCACAAACTGCTTTGGAGACAGCGAGTCCAGTGAGGAGTGCGTGGAGGAGAGCACCAACACCAGCGATACGGAGGAGAGTGGTGGGGGAGGCATGGGCAGGGGGCGGGCCAGCTGGGGGAGCTGGGGTCAGGGCGACGGGGCAGGAAATTATGTCAGCTCAGGCAAAGGCTTTTGTTAAGATTAAGGCATCTCACAACCTGAAGAAGAAGATCCTGCGATTCAGGTCGGGCTCGCTGAAGCTCATGACCACCGTGTAACCTCCCAGACTGGACCGTAGCCACACCTGCCTTACCCACGTGCCTCAGGTGGGCCTGACCCAAACCCAGTTTACCCAGCCAGACCCGACTCTTTCCAACACTAACCCGGTGGACAGACGCAGGGTGGCGGCACAGTTTGGTTCACCTGGTTTATCTGTTGATTCCCTACAAATAAACCGTTCTGATTGGATCTTTTGTAATTAAAGTACATTTTAGGCAAACACAGTCGAGCTCAGCTCGGTGACCTAGTAAATGTGTTTCTTCCCCTGCTTGTGGTCTTCACTGTCATTTTTAAATGCGACAAACCAGGCCACCTGATTGGAAACCACACCACCTGCTTACTGGTCCCACTCTTCAGAATCTAGGGAAGCAACCTGAAGGTCAACACTGAGTGATTCACCTGGACTCTGGGTACAATAGTTCAGGACATCAAAGAAATTAACATCGGTTAAAGTAGGAAATGTATAAACAAGCATAATTTTCTTAAACTTAAAAAAGCATCTTTGAATTTCATCCTTTCACTGTTCTTACAATCCAAAAATCTAAAAATGCTTTGATTGTGAAAGTTTTCTATTTCCAACTTCCCTCAAACGCAGCATGAGATGCTTTGTTTCTGTAATGACGTGAAGGTGTGGTTTGGGTCCAGCCAATCACTTTACTGTCCTTACTTTGGTCCAACACGTGACTCGGCTGAACCCGGAACCGCACTGCTTCAAACGCGTTGAAGGCCGCCTTCGCCACCACCGTCTGGCTTCCCCGATTGGTTCCTCGGTCTGTGCCAAGCAGTGGACCTGAGTCGTGATAGATTCACTGACAACAGCGTCACTCACTGATTAAACCAGAAATAATTTAGAGCAAATGTGTGGAAACATCCGGTGGCGGCGGTTCGGTCGGACGACATATTTGTCAGAAGCAACCTGGACTCGAGCCTTGTGTCCTCTGATCTGTTCTAGAAGTGGAACTTTAGTCTGGTTCCTCAGAGTTTCTCCAACGTTCTACCAAAAGTCCAACAACTTGAAGGGACTGATTGTCCAGGGTCTGTCCGGGCAGTCAGAGTTCCTCCGGTTTGTTATGTGTGTCAGGACAAAATAATGAGGAACACAGTGACATTTTTGGGGTTCTCCGACTTCGAGGCGTGGACTGTCAGCAGGTTCCTCCTGTAGCTTCACGCTGGACCTTTTTGCCTTTTTAAAAAATTGATTGTAATGCAGGAAATTAGTCTAGAACTTTCTGCCGTCAGACTTCTGGACTTTTTGGGTCTTTGAGCTTAATTTGGACCCTGGTTCCCGCGGTGGTTCCAGCCGTGGTTCCCACGGTGGTTCCTGCCGTGGTTCTTCGTCACTGCGGCTCTGTTGGACTCCTTTAAAACCTGGTGTGAGGTTTGAGGAGGTTCTCACCACAGTAACCTTTTTATTTCCTGCACTTTGAGATGAGCTGTCAGCGGACAGGGCGGCGGCGTAACGCTGGTGTTCTGTTGTTTGTATGTAGCCTTGGTTTGTATTTATTATCACGTGACCTTTGCTGTTGCGCAGCACGCCAAATGCCTGTAAATGCTTCTCTCTTTTTCAGGTCCTGAGATGTTTTTGATGAAATCTATTTAAAGCCTAATATATTTGCTTGGTGCATTGAGAAAAGCCGACATGGTACTGACAGGTTCTGATCTGGGCTTTTATGACTTTATACTCGAGTCTAACTTTTTAACACAAATGTTTCTACTGCATCTGTTTTTTATACTAACAGTTACACAGCAGCGTGTTTACCGAGCTCAGCTGGAAGCAGGAAATGTTTAAGGATGTAGACACAGAAATGGAAACTCTGTGGTTTTCTCCCGTTTTTATCCTGTAATCAAACTCTGACACGAGTATCAGTGTGTGAGGTCTGTGGACGTCGGTTGAATGTCAGTTTTCAGCTCTGCTTGTGGACGTGTTTGTGCTAAACGTGTCCTGCAGGGATGTTTCACGCACTCTCCTCCGTCGTCTCATCTGATTCTGCGATGACGGAACGAAGAGGATTCAAATAAGATATTCGAGAGGTTTCAGTTTCCAGTCCTCTCTTCTCATTGGTCGGGGCCACAGTTTACATGTTCAGGATATAAATAGCTCCTCAGCTTTTAAAAGCCATATAAAGCTCATTAAAGCTGCCATGTGCTGTTCTGCCTTTGTGTTGAGCTATTTGTTTTTCCTGCACCACCTCCACTCTGTAAATGTTCACATATGCAGCTGGAGACGACTGTTACTGATTTGTGTATAAAACCTGTGTATGGCAACAATGGTGCTTTACCTTCTATGCTTCATTAAATGTGGACTTTCAGCGCCCGTGTCCTGACTCTGTGTTGCCTCTGACCCGTGAGGGCTTTGTCCCAGCTGTAAGCTCCTGTTTGCTGCTCAGCCTGATCACAAGTGTTTTAAGCTGCGTCACACTTCTGACCTTTGCATCGAACCTTTTTATCGGCACATTTTTCACCGTTCGGCCTGCGGATCGCTGAGCCGGACAGACAACACAGCTTTCTACATCTAGCAACAAATCACAACAACAGTCGCTCTGAGGTGCTTTACGAGGCAAAGATGACACAATCAGATGACTCAGGTCCAGATGAGCTAAAGCAGGGGCGTCAAACTCAAGGCACACTTTAGGTCGCGGGCCAAACAAGATAAACATTTATTGAACACTAAAACAATGTTTTTTTTAAAACATAAATGTGAATAAAAACAGACAGGAATATTATTCCAGATCAAGGTTATTATCGTTAACGAAATAACGAAAACTAGAAGTGAAAAAACATTTTCGTTAACGGACTATTGTGCGTGTCCTACAATAGTCAAGGGTGAAAATGAAGTTTAGTTTCCAGATTTTTTTCTTGCTGTGTCTCATTATGCCAGCAGGTGGCAGTACGTTAGTCGAGTCGTCTGTGTTACTGCTCCGTCCACGCGCAGAATCATGTCAGGAAAAGTCGGGAGAAAGCGCCAGAGTCCAATTTGGGATTACTTTGAATATGACTGTGCTTTGGATAAAGCAAGTAGGGCTGGGCCATATTATACCGTTCACGGTAATACCGGTATAATGTTAGGCAACGATAGGAAAATGAAATATCGCGATAGAATATGAGTCAAACGCGCATGCGCAGTGCCTTTGTTTTCATACGCACATGGCCGATTGTTGAGTGAAACAGATGAACCACAATTGGGGTCCGTTCTTCGTACCTCGCTTACTACATCCAAGATCAAATGACACATCCAAGATCAAATCATCGCGCCAATTTTGAGCTCGCTATTCCGGTTCTCCGAACACACCTGTTGTTGACGATTAGTATAGCTGGATGAAGTAATGTGAGATCACTGGGTGGCTTAACAGGGGCTACGCATCGATAGTAGAAACATTGATCGGCAACCCTTTGATTGGTCGGCGAAAATGTCAAAGGAGCGCGCTCAGTATTTTTCGGCAGCAGAGCAAGAACTCTTGATTGAGGGATTTCAGGAGTTTCAGAGTTTAATTAAAACGCAAGGGAACACTGCAAAGGCTGCAAAAGCAAGGAGAGAGGGCTGGCAGAAAGTTGCTGACAAATCAAACTCGTAAGTAATTTAATAATAATAATAATGGATTGGATTTATATAGCGCTTTTCAAGGCACCCAAAGCGCTTTACAGTGCCACTATTCATTCACTCTCACATTCACACACTGGTGGAGGCAGCTATGGTTGTAGCCACAGCTGCCCTGGGACAGACTGACAGAAGCGAGGCTGCCATATCGCGCCATCGGCCCCTCTGGCCAACACCAGTAGGCGGTAGGGTAAATTTATTATATTACATTATATCCTCTTTCACATTAGAGCCACAACAGGACCCACTAGAACATGGGAACAAGTAAAAGTGAAATATAAGAATATTCCACAGAATGGTAATATTTATCACTTATATTGCTTTTAGTTATGTTAGCATAACATAAACAGTGAAGCTGAAGGACGAATTAACACTTTTCCACTTATAAAAATTAATGTTACGGTTCCTGATAGTTAGAGACAAATGCAATCGCATGGCAGGATGCTGTAAACGGACCAAACTTCAGTCAGGAGAACAACTGAGATAATCCATCCACAATACAAGGTTAGTTATTAATCTACTGCAACAACATGGGAATAGAGCAGCTGCCAGAGAATTCAACATTAATGAATCAATGGTACAGAAGTGGAGGAAGCAAGAAGAATGAGTTTAATAAAGTTTGATTTATCTGACTGCTTTGTTTCGCTTAATGTGCCTTATAATCCTGTGCACCTTATGGTCCAAAAAATACGTACTGCACACTGCAGTTTAATGTTGCAAAGCACCTCTTTTTAACTTCAATGGATATTATACATGGTTATGCTCAGGCAGTGTTGGGAAGGTTACTTTTAAAATGTATTCCATTACAAAATACAGAATACATGCCCCAAAATGTATTCTGTAACGTATTCCGTTACGTTACTCAATGACAGTAACGTATTCTGAATACTTTGGATTACTTAATATATTATCATGCTTTTTACAACAACGTGAATGTACTATTGCTGTGTGATTTATTACTATTACTGAAGGTCCGCGACTCCGAACTGTAGTAAAGGGACCTCTGACTAATACGGCGGGGTCCCTGTCGGCTCGTAGCCGAAAAATAGCTTTACTTTGTTGTGTGGGTCAAGTTTGCTTGCGAGAGACAGAGAGAGGCGTTGAAAGACTGCTCCAACGGAACTTATTGTTTTCGGAGGAAAACACGAACACGGTGTACAGTCGAGTCTTAATAGCTTACTTACAACTGGGCTCGTCAGGCACTCTTCTTGGCTGAAGTGGTTATTATTATATTTACATGCTTCCAGCTCCCGTTTTTCCTCGATGACAACTCGTACCTTTCCACTCCCCTTTTTCTCCCTCCTCGCGCTCACAGACCCATAACGTGTATGGCAGTCCATTCTCCCTGCAACACGGACTACACTGCCCATGATGCTACATTCTTTAGAGCTATGCTTGTAGCATTCTGCCTGTTAGCTTAGCACAACAACAACAACGAAAAGGCGCTCTCTCACCCAGGAAACACACAGTCGCAGAGAGAGAGAGAGTCGCGTCGCCCTGTAACCATGGCAACCGTAACGCTGACGCCTGGAACAACAGAACGTAGCTGTCAAACAAAACCCAAACAGTCCTGACCCGCGACAAAATGAAACAG